GAGACAAGGGGACACTTGGTTGAGGAGAACAGACACCCCCACGAGTATACTTCCTTTCCTCTTTCCTCACCTTTAAACTAGAAAGCTGGGAGAGCTAACTTCTGGTCATTCCCTGTATCAGCTGAAGCAAGCGTGCCGCCTGAACCAATGTGAATTCATTTGATTCTAAAAATAAGCACAAGCCCCAATGGCAGAAGAGAAAACTGGGATGGGATGGGGCCCCTGGGCAGCCTTGCTCAAGAGGAAATTTCAGAGCTTTGGAGAAGTCATCAAAGAAAGCCCCCTTTTTTTGCTTCAAAAGTTGTTGGGGCCAAAAGAAGGGCCTCCTTGGCCCCCCCTCCCAAATCTCAATCCTCAGGCAGGCTCAGAAGGAAGCATACTGTATAGCTTTTCAAACACTCTTGCCTCAAGCCATGTATGTAAGTTTTCAGGTCATAATGACCAGCACTTTAAATGGTTCCTGGAAGTAAATCAGTGAAACCAGTGAAGGTTTTCTAGCAAGGAAGTCACTGGCTTCTTGTTATTTTGCCCAAACGTTCTGGACCGGCTGAACCATCCAGAGATTTTTCAGAGACAGCTCCCTAGGCAGGCTGTTCCAGGAGTCCAGATGGCTTTTCATGGAGGCACAAGTCCCCTTTGCCCAAGTTCAGTATTTCAGAAAGGTGTGGTGCACAAGTGGTAAGCACGGCAGTGGCCAAACACAATTTCTCAACTTTCTCTACTTTGGATAAACACCCTTTGCCTCATCTAACTTTGCAGCCACGGTTACAGGCAAGACGCTTCAAGGAATACCGTGTTTCCCCAAAATTAAGACAGGGTCTTATATTAATTTTTGCTCCAAAAACACATCAGGGCTCATTTTCAGGGGATGTTTTATTTTACAGTCCTGTCCTCTTCTTCTGGTTGCTGCACAAGGGTGGAGGGCGGGGTTTCACTTTTTTTCACTGGGGCTTACTTTTGGGGTATGGTTTATATGACGAGCATCCTGAAAAATCCTACTAGGTCTCATTTTCAGGTTAGGTCTTATTTTCAGGGAAACAGGGTAGCGCAACGCTAACGAAAGGATTTCCATCCATCGCCCAACAGAAAACGGACAGACCCACCTGAAAACTGGGAGGTAAAGGGTGGGGCAATGTCGAAAGGAGGACATTCTTAGCGATGGTGAGCATTAGGAAAGGAGGGAGCTTAAAAATAACACATTCGTGTTAACATGCTAGCGTTAGAACGGGTACTTTTGGGTTAAAAAGGAGAACAAGCCAATGGATGCCTCTAATTTTCTAAAAGTGACCTTCTGAAAATAACGTTTTAACTTCAGTTTTTAGAGGATCGGACGCATCCGTGGCTTGTCCTCTTTTAGAATCACATATGTCACATTTATCACCTGACACACACACACACACACACACGTCTTATGAACATCGGCATGTGTCTCATCTGGGAGAAAAAGCTAAGCTGGAAGGCTCTTCTAGGGCTTAGTTAGGCTGAGCTCCAGCTAGCTTCCCTGTTCAGGAAGAAAGTTTGCAGCTAGGACCCAGGCAGGAACAGAAGGCTCTCCCGCTGAGAGGAGACAGGATAGCTCATCTGTCCAGAGGTGTGACCCCCCTGTCTGGTTTCAGCCTCAGCATCCTGCTCGCTTTGGAGGCTCAGCACTGAATGGCTGAGAGACCGAGAGAAGGAAGAAAGGCATTCTTTTGGGGGACAGCTTACTAACCACCTGGAAATGGCTCGTTGGTCATGGGCAAAGTTCCTGCAGATAACTCTCCATCCCCCAGCTGGCATGGACACGGACCACATGAGCTGAGGGATTGGAGAAGCTGTCGTCTGGAAGAACTTTTTCCAGGCAGTGGTTGAAAGGTTGGTAGACTGCGTTGGAGCCTTGCCCGTTGATGATGATGATGAGGAGGAGTGCCACTGCATTGCCACTGTCTTGGGAGGAGAACCTGTTCAGGGCAGGTCCCTCTGCCCACCCGTGGGTCTTCTTGGATCCTTGAATGGTGCTGATCGTCCACGGCCCTGGCCTCTGGAACATCTTGAGAAGGTTGGCCTCTCAACCATGTCCTCTCCCTTCTCTTCTTTGCAGGTCAATGCTGGGAAGCCGGTTCCAACCCCGGGAGAGATTTATTTCCAGAATGAAGGCTACAGCGACTTGGGTGATGAGGTGCCAAAGACCTATGGAGGAGGCCAGGTGCCGAATTCCAAACAGCCTTCGGTGAAGAGCGAGAAAGCTGTTGCTGTGAGAGAAACCCTGATGGCCAATTCGCTGGCCAACTTTGACCCCAGGGCAGGAGGCCAGGCCAAAATAAACTTGACCCTGAAGCAGGAGGTGGAGGAGGAAGAAGATGCAAAAGCAGCTCTCCTCAACGGGAAAATGCTTGAGCAACCCAGTGATATCGCACCTGTTGTGGAAGACGAGGCCTTGTCGAAAAACTCCCTTGCCAGGCAGCCATCATCAGAAGGGGCTCAGGTGGGAGAAGAGGCAGCAACGCAAGCCGATAAGGAGCCCCTTCCCTCTCCTGGCCCAGCTGGCGGTGAGGAGAAACCGTCGGATGATGTCTTGGAAGGAATAGAGGAAGAAAAACGTCTTGAGGCGGAGATGCTCCAAAAGGAAGAAGAAGAAGAAGAAGATGGAGAAAAAGAAATTCAGCAGGAAGGCAAGGGGATGGCCAATGGAGACACAATCCGAACAGGGCCTCCTCCTGAAAACCCTCCTGCAGAAAGGAACTGTGTGAACAACGAAGGGGGCAGGGAGCCCGCAGACCCCTCAGGAGGGATCGGTGAAAGGGCAGACCCTTCCCAGGCCATCTCCGGAGCGTCTACCGTCACAGGAGCTGCTGAGGCTGACGACTCCCTTGCGTCCCCCGAAGAGGATCCCGGAACCCCAAGGCTGCTGCGGAGAGAGATGCAAATGCTCAACGAGGCCTCGGAGGATGAAGAGGAGGAGGAAGGAGAGGAGACCCCCAAGGCTCTCTCGCCCACCTATCAAGATTCCCTGGCATCTCTACCCGTCAGTGACGTGAGGATGCCTGTGACCCTTTTGCAGCTTCTGGAAGATTCCATCGAGTGCTAGCCGGCCCTTCCACAGCCGCCTCTGACAGCCCCGGGGTGGGGGTGGGGTCCAGATTATGCCCTCCGGGCACTGCCTAGAAGGGTGGCTTCGTCAGGAGGGCCTCCGTGCCCCAACAACTGCATGTTCGCACGGGTGGCGGTCGGGGTGGCCCTTGGTTTCCGGAGTGCATTCGGAGTTTGTGGGCTTTGCCCTCTGAACTTCCTTCTCCCACATAAATGGATGTCCTTTCCTATATTCAGTGGAAGGTGCACGGTTAGGGTGAGGAGGGACATGCATACAACCTCATTCCTTTCTCACTGTAGTCCGGCAAGAGACTTGCAAGGTCGGAAGGGAGCTCAAGGTCTCCGTGAAGGTTGCCAAGGCAAGGTACCACCCCCTTCAGCCACGTTGGGTGGCCGACCCTCGAATTTGGCCCACAAACCCTCCATCCATGAGAGGGTTGTCTCTTTTTTCCACCCAAACCGTTCACGGGGCATGAAAAGCAAGTATGCTTTTTGTAGGGAAATGAAGATTTCCGAAGGGACAATGTCGTTGAGAGCAGTGTTTATAATATTCGAAGCCCCCAGGGACAACGGATTCTGCCTTGCTTGGCCCCATGCGGAGAGCCCACGTAGTTTCTGTGCCCTAGCTGAGAAGGGCTGCGTCAGATCACCTCGGCCCTGTGCGGAGAGCCCTAGCTGAGAAGGGCTGCGTCAGATCAGGGAGAAGGACCGTCCGTTCCGTGGCCTCCCATGTGAAAAAAGCAGTCGCGCAGGTGCTTCCTGGGAGCTCACTTGGGGGGCCTCAAGGCGGCAGCCCTCCGCACTCCGCTCACCACGTTGGGGGCTGCTTTGCTTACAAAAAGAGGGTCTGGGGGTAGGAAAGAAAGGGTATCAAATCACGCACAGTGTGGGGAAAGCAGTGTGTGTGTGTGTGGGGGGGGAAAGCCACCCACCAAAGCTGAATGAGGGGAGACCCAGGGCAAATGGCCAGAAGCAGTGCTTCACTCGGCACATGGTGGGGTTAGGGGAACTCACTGCCACAAGAGGTACTGATGGCTTTAAAGGGGGTTACAGTCACAGTGGGGAAGAGCAAGGCTAGATCAGCCCTCCCCATGAAGACTGGGCATCACCTCCAGCATCAAAGACAGGTTATCTCTACCGGTTGCTAGAGAACGGAGGCATTCTTCTGCTCACGTGGGTAAAATGTCGGACTTCACATGGATCTCAGATCTGAGGCAACCCAGCCCTCCTTCTCACAGTTGAAATCCTTTTAAAAACCATCAGTGGCATTACTGTCACCATAATTAGCACACAAGGATCACACTGCTTTCTCCCAGGTGCCGCAAAAATTCATCCCTATATCTCACTGGGTTGCCAAGGAGCACAGAGGTCACATTCAACTTTCCCTTGAAAAAGGCACTTCTGGGGGCAGTGGTGGGTGGGGAAGGGCTTCTCTTGGCAAAATTTCCTTTAAAACACCTTGGCCATAAACACTCTTCTCGGCTGGAGCCCCCCCTGTTCCCTTTCAGAGAGACCTGGGTGCTGATTGTCTCGGATGATGACGCATTGTAAACATCAGCCACAAACGAGAAAAACGCAAACACTGCCCTGAGTGCAATGTGTTACCTTAAAATAAACCTTGGTTTTAGGGGATTGGAAAAGGAGTCACAGAGAAATGCACCATTATGCAACGAAAGGAGGGGAGGGGGATGTGGATGGTGGGGAAAATGTCAACCGTCTCAGTGCAAAATTCATCTATTAAGCTGAACAAAGGCTGGAAGAGTCCCGACCATCTGCCTTGTCCCAGGAAGGATCGTTTGCATCCGGGGAGTTGTGGTACCAGCATTTCTGTCGATGTCACAGGGGGGTGCCACACGCTACTTGGGCCCTATGACCGTGCAAGGGGTTCATTCAGAGGTGCACCATTTCTGACAGTGAGTTTACTCATGCTGTCATGCTCCAACACACACATACACATAACACCTCCTTTGTAGCTGACAATGTGTATGTGAGTGTGTGTGTGTGTGTGTGTGTGAGAGAGAGAGAGAGAGAGAGAGGGTTTCCAGATGCCCCTTTTCCAAAGACGATTCACAGAGAAGAGAAGACGGTTTGGGAAGCCAAAGGGGAGGGGAGAAACACCTCAGAGGCAGAATGGGCCCCCTTCAAGCGGCCAGCCGGCTGTCCACTCCGTACTGTGGTACAAACAGACCCCAGATTCCAGGTGCCCCTTTTCCAAAGACGATTTACAGAGAAGAGAAGACGGTCCGGGAAGCCAAAGGGGAGGGGAGAAGCACCTCAGAGGCAGAATGGGTCCCCTTCAAGTGGCCAGCCGGCTGTCCGCTCCGTACTGTGGTACAAACAGACCCCAGATGCAACCCTTTCCTCTCCTGGTTCACGCTAGGGCCAGTGAGGTATTGGGCGCCGAGGCCGAGCGTCTCAAAGAGATGGGGGCAACCTGAGGCAAAAACATGCTGAGGCCCTTTCACCTTAGATGACCTTGGCCACAAAGTCCGGAGTCTGGATCTCCCTGCTGAGGGGGGGGGGAAATCAGGCACCCCAAGGGTGTGTGGATGATGGGGTCACATGGCCTGCCGCCCAGCTGGCCTTGGGCCAAGCTGCACAAGAGGTCCCAGAGCAATCCAAGAAGATTATCCACTTCTGAGGGCTTTATACCGAGAAAACCATGGCCGGGTGGCCAAATTGGCTCAAGGGCACATCAGTCAGTGTTGCACAAAGGGAAGCGATTGGGTCTCCTTCCACCACCACCACCACTTTGAAGCTTGGTGAGGAGCAAGCAGGAGGCGACCCGCAGGCGCTCTCCACTGGACACCCCTGAATTTGAGGTGAGCGGGTCATGTGCGGCTGTGGCTTGCCCAGCGACGGTGACGTCATGGCACAGCACCGCCAGTTCGGCCTCCCCTCCGTTCCTTTGTCCCCGGGCTTGAGCCCACCTCTTCAGCTCTCACCTCAACCATGGCTCCTAAGCTATTTATCTACCACCAGTTCATGGGGATGGGTGCCCATTTCACCCAGGGGTGACGAAGCAGAAGTGTTTTAAACAACCAACTGATCCTGGGGGGTCCTTCAACATTGCCCGATGTTCTACCAGGCCCTTCCTGGGGGGTTTTGTCCACCCACCCGCCACATCTGTAACGGTTGCCTCCCTCTCTCTGGAAGGAGAGAAAATGCAAGTTCCCTCAGCCAGCACTGTGTTAAAAAAGGAGGAAAGGCTAGTTCTGTGGTGTTATGCCATCTCCTTGTCTATTTATATTTTCAAATTAAAGGCATTTTAAAATAAAAAGGAGTTGGGTGATACATTCCGAGGGGTTTCAAGCCACATCCTCTTGCAGACTGCAGCCATCTCCAACTAAGATGCTTAACTTGAGATCTGGGGACTTTGATAAAATCATACAGTATAATTTTGGAACTACCCAAAAGAATGTGGTGCACAGCCTGAAGAAGATGAATTATCATTGAAAGCTCACTGGATTTTTTTTAAAAAAAATTCTTTAGTGGTCCTTCTCAGGAAGGCCTCTCTTAGCCCTGGTTGGCTTTCCCTCCTGCTCCCCTTATTTCGTGTCCATAAGGAAATGTCTCCATGCTCCAGAGGCCCTGCCTTCGCTCGGAATGCGCCACTAGGCCAATGAACTGCATTTGTCATGAAATGCTCCTGACTGCAGGAACATCTTGAAACTTCCTCATGATGTCTGACCGATGAACCCGTTGCCCGTGCCCTTTTGTTCATGTTGGCACCCTCGTACTAGGAGGCTGCCAGTCATCTACAGAGTTGCTACCCTTCATCTGAAGAGTACCCTACGGATTGGCGCTGCCTGGGTTTGATTTTGATCTTATGAGTAAGGAAAACCTCCTTGAGCCCAATTTTATGCTTGTATTAATGTTCACTGGAAGGACAGATCCTGAAGCTGAGGCTCTAATACTTTGGCCATCTCTCATGAGAAGAGAAGACTCCCCGGAAAAGCCCCTGATGTTTGGAAAGTGTGAAGGCAAGAGGAGAAAGGGGATGACGGAGGACGAGATGGCTGGAATAGTGTCACCAAAGCAACCAAGATGAATTGGACCCAACTCTGGGAGGCCGTGGAAGACAGGAGGGCCTGGCGTTCTCTGGTCCATGGGGTCACGAAGAGTCGGACACGACTAAACAACAACAAATTAATGTGCTGCCATCGGAAACATTTAAGATTTCATAGTCTTGTTGCTGCCAAAGCCTTAACTCTTTGCGTGCAATCAGATGGCAACATAGGATGGCGCGGGTCACTTTATGGAGTGCAGTCTCCCTTGAAGTGACTCTTCCACGTACACAGGATTCACTCCAAAAAATGAGTAACCCGCCTGCTACTGGATGGGGCTCAAGCAGGATCAGGTCAGTTCATCAGTTCCTGTACGCCATCTGGTTTTGGGGAAATAACTCAAAAGAAACCATGCCACCAGTGGTCCAAAATGCAGGCTGCCTGATCACACACCCCTTAGCGGTTTTTAGGAAAAGGGTTTTAAACGGTGGCACAAAAGTCCTATCTGGGAAAGGTTTTAGTTCCACATTATCAGCAGCCATCACAGCCATCAGAGCCTATGTTCTCAGGCTTCAAATTATTTATTTATTTATTTATTTATTTATTTATTTATTTATTTATTCATTCATTCATTCATTCATTCATTCATTCATTCATTCATTCATTCATTCATTCTATTTATATCCCGCCTAT